TTACTAAGGCGATTATACCACATGCGCCCAGATTGCTTTAAACCGTGCACAGATCTTTGTAATCTGATTGAATACATTTTTCGAGATTTTGAATTTGCTTCAGGCATTTTAAATCCTTCAGGGATCTTCATATAGAATTAATCAAATGAGTCATATAGGTTATGACTTACATTTAAATGGCATGACATCTTCAGGTGTCTGGACTACAGGTCTGATCCTCATAATCTTTTACAATATTGTGCACTATATTGTATCAAATATATCGTCGACGATCATTTCGTATCGGTTCGCAAGCGACATAAATTGTTGAGATCTCACCACTTTCTTTATTTTCAGGTACCTTAACTTTTTATGGAGTTTCATAAAATATTATGTCGTGGGCTCTTCCATAGCTTATTTCCTCCTTATTATAATCATTTTGATCATTTGCTCATATTCTTTTCAAGGATTGTTACCTTTGGAACCAATTGGTCTACCACGCTTCATGCGTACAATAAATTTTATCCTTCAGGGACTTTAATTTTAATAGAAGCATTTGCAGCTGAAATATGATATTTAATTTTGGATCAGCAAATACTTCTGGTATTTGACTTGAATTATATTCTAAGCGAGGATCATATTAATGATAATTCGATTCATATAGCATATTTTCCAGTTGTTTTATTCCATCCCCCAAATGTTAGAAAAACTAACTCATTTCCCCAATCTTCTTTGGAAAACATATCTTTGTACATTGTGTTAGAGAAATTAATCATATACCACACATCAAAAGTTATTAGATAGTAAAAATATTTTATTTCTGATCCTAAACCAATTGTGAGGGAATGACTCATCATATTTTGTTAGTCTGATGCATACAAGTGTTGTTGTATGTAATTTAGAAAATCTTAGATCAAAACATGAGGCTCTGTTCTCATAAGCAATAGTTTAGCCATTAATAGGAGGTATTTAATGCTAAACTAGTTTGGATATAAACCAGCATCATCTAGATGAACTATCTTGATTTCATAATTTGAAAATTATGCTCTTAATTGAGAAGACAATTTCAAATGCCAAACTGCAGGTTGATAATAAACATACATGTAACCATCTTATATATGCATCTATAAGTGGTTCACATGATAGGTGAATGTGCCCATATTTACCTTTTATATATTCCAGAATTCGGAGATTTTAGTCCCAACTTTAGCTGGCATAATCAAGTTATTATGAGAACAAGCAACACAAGAGAATTCTTGAAGAATCTTCTAGTTCTTCAGTATATGCTTATCTGAATTCTCAAATAGCTCATTTAAAATTGGCAGATGAAAACTTCAAGTTTGTCATGACATGTACTATCTCTAAGTAAACTTCTGGTTTACTATGGCATAAACTTTTGCATCAGTAAACTTCTGGTTTACTATGGCATAAACTTTTGCATCAGTAAACTTCTGGTTTACTATGGCATAAACTTTTGCATCAGTAAATTTCTGATTTACTATGACTGCTTTTGCATTAGTAAACTTCTGGTATACTGTGATACATGATATAGTACAAATTTGAAGAATAAGACAGGTAACTTCTCACATACATATTTACCCCATATGATTGTGAAAACATAAAAATTTTCAATCTTTTAATCATTTGTAGTCTCAGTATGATAGTCATATGTATTAGTAAACTTCGATTTATCATAACATATGTTTTGACCACAATAATGACAAATAAGCTCTTCGGGAGCCTTCCATTTATTGTCCACAATCAAATATTATTCAAACACTACTTGTGTCATGTGTCTTCTAGACAAACTGTTAGCTCTTTAGGAGCTTTTGTTGTACTACTAAATATTGCTCAGATCTGGTATCATGAGAGAAAATCATATTCAAATGAACAATATAAAGCTAATTCTAAATTTATAAATGACAAAAATTAAGAATTTTAATATTTTTACCACTAACTTTGTGACAAATATCTCCTTCAAGGAGAAATATCATTATCATCTGAATATTTTGTATTAATACGATAACCACATAGTCATTGCATCTTTTAAGGAAAGATACACGAGTTGTTATTTCCTTCGGGGAACTCAATAACTAACCATAATATATTAATGTGGTTGTAGTAGAAATCATTCTATAAGAATACTTTTGCCTTAGAATGCTACTTAATAAGATTATCCAAGATGTTTTACGTACAACAGGTACATGCAGCAATGATCTTTATGCCACAAAAATAATATTTATATCCTCTATTATTCTACCTCTTCAGGAGGTGAGTTGTGGTATTTCTTCATTCACTCCAAGGAATGAAAATGTGCTTCAAAATTAACTTTGAATAGCTCATTATTTTGTTTAAGCACAGAAAGACACTGCTTCAAAATATTTTCCTACTTCGGGAGAAAATTTCAATTGTGTTACTTCTTCAGGAGCAAATTTAAAATATGAAATATTGAGTATATATTCTCTCAATCATATTAACTCTTCTAGAGGTGAATTGTAATATATTTACAACAATAGCGCGTTCATATTTACGACTTTATTAATATTATCACATTCACTTCAGGAAATAGATTAATATTTATCAAAAATTCTCATCCTTCAGGAAATCGAATATAATTATCTGAAAGCACATTAATCACATCAAATTGTGATGCTTCAACCTCTTTTAAAATATTTACTACTTCAGGAGCAAATCCAGGCGTGCATATAATATAGAGAATGTTTCTATAGCTTATCTTTAATTGTAATCATAGAAAGCCTAAATTATCACTTTTGGTGGTTAACAAAATTTAGTTACAATGAGATATATGAAATATAACCACTTCTGGTGGTTGTATATTTCTTGCAAACTCTACTAGAGTTTAAGTGGATCTAACAATGCTATCCACTTTGTAATCCTTTATTAAGATAATAAGGATGAAAACAAATACCAAAATAGGTACTGTATACGTAACATATAACCAAGCAAGCGATGATAAAGATATTAAAATATAAGCAAAAGGCTCAAATTAAATTACACAAATTTGGCCACTCCATATGTAAGTGATATCTACATCACTACTGCCAAGAAGAAAAACTCACCACCTCAAGGATATAATCTGCCTTATGATGCTCGGAATGAACAAGATCTGACCACGGACATAAGAGTGTCGCCTTACATCGGAGATGAACACTGAAATAGAAATTAAATTCGATGTAAGTGCTCAAAATGGCAGAGTCTCGTGCTGATAACGTGTTATAAAATAAAGACTAAAAAGAAATAAACTGAAGACAAGTATAGAGGGAGATTGATATTTTATTCAACTTTCAAACTTATGTTTATAATTAACTGAAAACTCTTCTATCTATAAAAGAAAGAAAGCAGCTACGAGACTTTTCAGGAAGCAGCTGCAAGGCTTTTCTTTAGCTGCTTGTAAGCTATCTGCATGAGCTGCTTGCAACCTGCATGTTTAATAAGAAGCTGCTGCAAATCATTTTATTGAGTTGCTTGCAACCTGCCTGCATGAGCTGCTTGTAAGCTGTCTGTATGAGCTGCTTGCAACCTGCCTGTTTAATAAGAAACTGCTGCAAATCATTTCATTGAGTTGCTTGCAACCTACCTGCATCAGTTGCTTGTAGATAAACTTCAACAGAGTACTAAATGAATAATTTTCTTCAGGAAGATATCTATAGCGGAGTAATGAATAGACATCCACAATATAATATTTTCATAACATATCGGATTTTGTTTCATATTTAAGAGCTCTTTCTACAATATTTTTTAATCACATTACTGAATAATGAAGCAACGTCGTTTAGACATTTTGGCTCTATTTTCCAGGTCGTGTCTTCGAACTTTACTATAACTTGTGTTATTTTTTTTTTAAAAAAACTTTGCTGTTAACACCCTTCTCTCAATTATCCTGTTCGGTCAAATGACAAGTTACTCGCGGCTCACTTTTCCTGCTCTCCCGCCGACCGTCACAACCGGGTGAGGTTAGTTCGTTTATATTAATTGGAGGGTCCGTCAAGGTTTTCCTTGTTTGTTTGCTCAATGATTGTCTTTTCACAATTTGAAGGCGACTGATTTGTTGGTTTTGCTGATTGTTAATAAATTAACCCCAAATTGAAATCTAAGTTGATTGGTTGCGGATGTTAGTAGTTTTTGAAGTGAATAAATTTAACTGATAATTAAACAACTTGAGCAAAAATGACTTTTTTCATTTTAAATTGGATCGATTACTAGCACACCTCTTTTTATTCTTTTGTGAAATTTCATTCTATTAACTCATAATGTTTTTTTTTGGCTATCTAGTTGAAGTGGAGATGATATATTAAACGAGTCTAAGAGCTAACGATCATTACAGAGGATGTGTGTCCTTGAAGAGACCGAGTTGATTGAGCCTCTCAAAACTTGTCTTGAATGTTATTTTCGTTAACTTACTCTTACGTTGTTTAATCTCAGAAATGATTCAGTACCTTTGTCGTGATGTTGAACGCTCGTTATGGTAGACAAGCTTTTCATTTTAGTTGCATATAGTCAAGTGTCAACGTTGTAGTGAGATGTCTATGACTTAAAGAGTGGTGTGTGCCATTTAGGGTGTGTTTGGTATGACGGAATTTTTTTTTCCCATTTTTCACTTTTTGGTTGCACAAAATAGTTTGAAAAATATTTTCCTAGATATCACATTTTTTCTGAAATCGGAGGAAAATGACTTCCCTAAAAAAAAACATTTTCCAAAACCCCCCACCTACTCTCACATCTAACCCCAACCCCCTCACTCTTCTCTCGCCTNAATTTTTTTTTTTTTTTATAATATTTTCAGTGCTAGTTTTTTTATTTTTTCGATTTACAGGTTCAAAATTTTACGAGTTCCAAAATTATGAGTTCAGAGGTTTATGTGTTTGGAAGTTTGCGGGTTTAGAAATTATAGAGTTTACGGGTTCGAAAGTTTAACGGTTCACAAGTTTATCAAATATTTGGGTTAGGAAGGTTGTTGGTTCGAAAATTTATGACTTCATGTTTATTGTATCTAAATTATTTATAAATATTTTTAAGTTATTTTCCTTAATTTGTGTACCAAACACGAAAAATGAGTAAGATTATACTTGTTTTTCAAGAAAACATTTTTCACGAAAAACATTTTTCGTTATACCAAACCGACCCTTAGTTCTTAAAATTTTATTTAGAAACAAAGAGTTTTTATGTTTGATAGCTTAAATCCTGAATCCAATATTGGACGTTATGGTATTAGCAAGAAGTTGTAGGACTGGTACTATGTAATGACGAAGAAATCTAGTTATATGTGCTTCTGATTACAACCTTTCTGCTCCTCATTATTCTTTGATTAGGAGATTCGATCTTGTAGATGTTTCATTAATATTTGTTATTTGTCTATTAACTTGTATTGGATAAACTGTGACAGCTTAGAAACAAGATAACGCTGAAGAATACTGGAGATTAAAATTAAGGTAAATGGAGTTGATTCTAAAGAGAATTTCGTACTTCTTGAAAAGGGGAACTATAATAAGTGTAACAAGGAACTATAAAAGAATCAAACACACCACACACAATAAATACTTGAAACTTCATCACTAGTCCTCTTCTTGGAATCCAAAATTCTACCTGATTTCCTCTTTGTTTTTCCTAACACTAATAAATAGGAGTATTTTTTTTTTCAGCTGTAGTAGTTTCTTCTTTAAAGAAGCTGGTGCGGAGTTAGGGTTGAGTTGTATGGTTTTATCTCTGCATAAATCGGAAAATGGCTCGAAGGTTTTCTCGCCTTTGTACGGTTGCCTGCATGTACAGATCAATTGCTGGAGTCAAATTGCAACCACCAATCTTGCCCTGCACATTCCAGTCTTGTCCACGCACTGTTCTCCATGGCTATTGTTATCCTATGCTCCAACTTCAAGGTCAGTTCTCTGCACTCCTCTCAACCTAATTGGTTAAGTTATAAAGCTTGAAGCTTATTTTCCCTCTCTGTGAAGTAATATTGGTGTTTATAAGGCACCGTTTGGGCATTCAGGAGTATTATAAGTGATGGAGATAAGGCTTCTTTTCATGTGGCCAATCTGTTTGTGAGAGTTCTCAATGAAATATTAGAAGCCCTAGACTGCTCCAAGGCAGTCCAAGGACAGAATAAATTATTTCTAGAATTTTAGTGGTGGATCAGATTCAGAATAGGGATTGCTCAGTTGTGGGAGTAACATTTAAGGATTTCTTGAGTTTTGGATTGACTGACTTCTAAAGTTTCTGCTTCAATCTTATGCCGTGTGTATAATCTCCAATCAGTGAATGAATTTCAACCTAGCATGGAATCGTCTAGTGAATAGTTTTGAACACATCTGTGCTTTTACTTCAATATTTTGCCTCGTAAGTGCTACTACTTGTGTCTCTGCTGTTTAACCATGACCCTGGACAAGTATTTGTTTTTTGCATGTCAGCATTGTTCTTAACTGCTTTCTCGTTCCATGAGTCTGCTACATGTATGTTTATGTGATTGTCACTTTTCATAGACTTCTTCATGGCTATTCCTACTTCTTCTTTCAAGATAAAAACTAATTCACATTCCTTTCTTGTGACGGGTTTTTGCATATATTCTATCAATTGATTGTTGCTGATCATAATCATGATCAGTTGAAAAGGACCCTAAAGTTCTAACATCTCTATAGTTATCTAACAATCTATAGCACTGTGTTTCCTTTATTGTTTATCTTTTAGGCAAACCATACTTCACCTGCTGATAAAATCACAGCTCACTTTAAAACAGACTTACTTATATATGTCTGCCCCAGTACGTGAGCACTTCTCCTTTCATTATAACTTGTCGGTTGGCATTCTTATTGTTTCTTGAAGTTCTTTCTTCTGTTCTTTGAAATGAAACTAAAACATATAAATTTGGAAGATCATCATTCATGAATGAAATTCTGTATTCTAAGTTGTTATACATCCATAGAACATGTTAGTGCTTGTGCCACCATTATCTGACCTCTTTTTTCCCATGAAACTGCAACAAATTTTTAAAATTAAATTTTCCTCGAAGTGGCAACAATTTTTTAGAATTTATTTCCTGAACTTGCTATGGATAGAACTTCTGGTTATAGGTCAGAAGTCAAAGCAGCTACTTTTTGGAAATATGGAGTACTTTCTGCACACAACATTTTGAACTTTTTTTTCTTCTTGCAAGTATAGTAACTTGCAAACAAAATTCAAGAGGTGCTTTATTTGATGCAGCATTGAGATCATATGCACGTAACAGACGTTCCAATTATGATCTATTTGGTGGCGGTATACCTAAACCAGATGAGTTTAAGAAAGCCTGGGCAAAACAAATGGATGACGAAGAGAGACGTCTTTGGACAGCAAGTGAAGATGAAAGTGACTCCGATAAAACTGATAGTCATAGCCGTCTCAAGAAAGATATTAGGAAAGCTAAACAACGAGCAAAAGAGCAAGACGGTCCTATTGATGCAGATGATAGTGACGAACTGAGAAGTCTGTGGTCCGATAGTGATGAAGAGAAGACATTATGGACCGGTAGTGAAGGAGATGATGATGATGATATTCCAACTGAACCATATCCGAATGAAAAGAGTGATAGCTACATTGATAAACTGTTTGAATTTGAGGAAAAACCTCAATATAGAACGCTCTCTGAAGCCTTGAAATCTGAGCAGGAACCTGAAGAGTTATCTCCTGGAAAGCAAGCTAGAAAAATTGCAGTGGAAAATGCCCTTAAGAAATTGAAAAAAGGACCTGATGGGCGTTACATCAATGTTTGGGAGGTTATGAGCGATGTGGACATTCTAATTGGTGCTTTTGAGAACATCATTTCAGGGCCAGAATACGCCGAACTGAGACAGGGAGGACCTAAGAAATTGAATATGCAGTTTTTCAAAGATATACAAGCTCGTATGAGAGATCCAAACTATAAGTTCTCTCCTGAAATGAAATTGAAACCAAAGAGCAAAGTGGTACCTAGAAAGAAATGGCAGAAAGCAGAGTCTAGGCGTAGGAAAGCACGGAAACGATAGCTTCAAAGAGGTGCCATTTCTTTTAGCATCTAAACATTATACCAATAGATTTATGTCTTAGGCGCTGATACCAAGTCTCTTTAGCTATTAGATCAGAGATAATTCAGGTCTAGAAGATTTGTCAGCAGTTGGTGGACTTGCTTACTGCTTTCTGTAAATTGTTTATGATTGCTCTTATGTAGGCATTTTACTTAGATTACTTATTCTTGCTACTGAATAGGAACCAGAATTTCATAACTAACACTTTGAGATAGGTTAATTGCTCTACAGCTACCTCTCTATTTTACCCGGTACCTGGAGTTTCACATTACTGCATGTATACTGCAATTGTCATTGCAACGTTTGTCTCCATCAGAGGTGGAATAAGTAACTTGTAAAATAAAGCATGGCAACAGGTTAAATTACTAGGATAGGGAAAAAACGTTTTTACACTGTAAATGTATATAAGTGATTCAAATGTAAAATGTGCTTATGGCCCAAAAAAAAAAAAAAAAGAAG